GAGGAGCCTGGTGGTGTGGTGGACGACGATGTTTTGGCTGAGTTGTTTGCAACTTGTGCTGTTGAAGATACAATTGATCCTGGGAATGACATCGCCAACGGGATGGAGGACGAAGATGATCTCGTGGATTAAAATTACATACAATTTTGGTAATGTGTTGGAGTGTTAATTAATTTTGCTTTACATCTCTTCTTTTTGTGTCCTTTGGAAATTTATATCTGTTCTAAATTTGTACATTTATGTGATGACGGTGCGGCATGGTTTATATTCAAAATTGTATGTCTGACTCGAAAACCAATTTTTCTGATCCTCATACATCTATCCGAATCCGGATAAAGTCATATCACTGTCCGACTCGTATTACGCTGGACGGTACAGGGAACGACGGAAATCCTTCCCCCGTGGTACTCGACCATACTTCTGGATTATTAATATAATTGACATTCAAAATCAACCTCTGGAAATTAACAATATTTTTGACCAATCGATGACAATAGGATCTACGTCCAAGCACATGATATGATACAACTTGCTGTCGTCAAACAAAAACTATACACTTTGTAACTGATACTTAGAATGCTATTATCCTAATGTGTTACATTGTATTATCCTGAAATGATCATCTTAGGTGCACAAGATGTCAAAGTAAAATTGCCTTTTGGATGAGCGATTATGGTGACCGCTTCCATTCGCTGTGACCCCTCTTTAACTATTGCAGTACCATAGATGCAACGCAATTTCATGGACCGAATGAGCTTGGCAAGGTACGCCTGGTCAATGAACTCCATTGCAGCAAAATTTCAGATTTCAACTCTTGAACAGACGAAAACTGCCGCCCATTGGCATACACCTTCCTTGTGAGGTAGCCTCAGACGTTCCCGATCAGATTCAAATCCGGTGAAAGGGCCGGCCAGCTCAACAACGGTACGTCCAGCTCGGCCAAAAACGCCTCCGTCTCGCGGCTCGCATGGATACTCGCATTATCTTGTTAAAATACGAACCCGTCGGTGTGGTTCACGTGAACGAAAGGCATCAGGTAGTCGCTAACCGTGTCACAATACGCGTAGGAGTCCTGGCGGCCAGACAGCACGGCAACTTCGGTGACACCTCAGTTCGAAAATCCGGCCCAAATCATCACACTGCCCCCGCCGTTTTGTCGGCTCAAAAACGTCTGCTCTTCCTTGCGTAGGTCGTGCCAGTAGAATTGCATGCCGTCCGGGCCATCAGAGTTGAACTCTTTTTCGTCATAAAAAACGACACTGTTCCACCCGAGACCAAGGTCGACATGCGTTTTCGCCCATTCAACACATGCAAACTTGTGGGCTTGCGTGAGGCGTGGCATTGCCTTCCGTTTCTTGTACTTGAAGCGTTTCGAACCGTGAAGCACTCGACGAACATCTACTTGAGCTCGATTTTTCTTCGCTCGCTAGCCGAAGCACACGTCGAATGTCCCGTTCATCGAGCTTTGGAGGTCTCCCTGAGCGCTCTTTTGTGCCTTATGTGTCAGGCGACTTGAGAAAGTCACTGACGGCACCTTTCGACACAAAAAGCTCGCGAACAATACGACTAATGGACCATTTTGCTCTTCGAAACGCAAGGATTGACCCACGCTCCTCTAGCGTAAGGAGCGCACCTTTTGGCATCTAGTTTTGTTCTGTTATGCATTCCTTTATGTTGTGTTAGCTTACATTTCGAACGCCTTTCGTTAGAACGCTTTGGTCTTCGTGCAAAGTCAAGAATTGTGGAGTGTACCTTTCACTTTTGACCAGGTTCAAATCCATTCATTTCATAATTGAATGCCAAGGGGAAACACACTCTCCGACAACGAGATGCTCGA